TGCTCAGTTGTTCATTTTCTATTTCTGTCGTCTTTCTCTTTGGTGAGAAAAAACTACGTATGTATAGTTAGTGAAATATCGTTCTTCAACCTGATTTTTATCATCTCAGAATCAGCATCGCAGCTATGCTAGCACTTTGCTTTCATTATCATTTCATTTCTTGATAGATAGTTAATAAGTTTTTACCTCTTTCCTCCCGACTCCTGGCTCCCTCGCTTCGCGCCACTCCCTTTTTAAAACAAATCAGTCTGGCCGCTCTGACGTTATCTCGTGCTGCATTCACTGCAGTCGGACATTGGAGATTCGCGCTCGTAAATGTCAAATTGGCCATAACTTTTCTTTTAATTCGTTGCTGCCAACTGGGGTGGCAGCAGGGGTGGCAAGGCTTTCTTTTAGGGTGGCACTTGACTTGCCACCCTATTCCACCCCGGTAGATCCTCCCATGCACTTGCCACCACCCTATTCCACCCCGGTAGATCCCATGTTTCTGCCCCCTTCTGGCAACAGAGCATAATTGTTATTGTAAAATGAAAGACTGAATTTGACACAGCAGATGAAGGTGTCACTAGAAGTGTGTTACTAACCAAGCAGTCAAGGACATATAAAAAAGGCTTCTATGGATTTAGAACACAATTATTGTCTTTATAAGCAAAACTGTAGAGGTGCACTTGCACATGTTTGTGTCCTTCACATCACTGAGGATGTTGATGCAAGGTCAACACAGTTCAGTTTATTTTGTAAACTTTAAAATGTTTATTTGGCTGCTGTAAAACTAAGAATATATGCGTGTATTGTGTACTGTACATTTCATTTCCTTGCACAGGTTATAGAGGTACTAGAGTATTTTTAAACTGAAAACTTGGTTTTGTATTACTCTACTCACTCTGTTTAAAATGAATGGTGGTGCCACAAATCCTTGGTAAGTCTACAGCCTGTGAAACACAGTGGTTCTCAAACTGTGGGGCATAGAGCCACCGCAGAAGACCATTGGAAAATATGGAGTAAAACTAAGTTAAATTAATATGATGAATGTAGAGAAAACAAAAACAAACTGCTGATTCAATTGTGCTGACCTTTATTTCACTAAAATGAAACTTGAATATTTTTTTTATTATTTGCTTCCCTATCATTGTTGGTAATTGATATATATGGTGGGGTGGAGTGGCACAAACTTTTTTCGGGGTCACACCAGAAAAATATGGAGGTCACTGCTTTGAGCTAAATGCTAACAGGCTTACAAGTGTGTGACAATGTTAAAATGTTTTGCAAGTGCAATGTTTACCAATGTCACCATCTTAGTTTAGCGTGTTAAATGAACGCTTTGACCAGATTATGGCACTAGATGGAAAGTCAGAGGATCAACAAATTGATTACAATTCATTATGTCTACATAGAAATAATGTCATCTTTCATTCTGACCTTTGCTTGAATAAAGAAGTTCATTATCAGGTCCAGTTTCCTCCAACTGAGGACAATTTTAAGCCCTTCCTTTTGTATATCTGAAGAAAGTTATTTGTGGCTTAAAGGAGTAATTGGATATTTTGTGAAATAAGCTTATCCACTTTTTTGCCAGGAGTCAGATGATCAATTCCACTCTCGTATCAGTTTGTTCAGTATGAAGAAAACCAGCAGAAAGTTAGCTTAGCTTAGCTGAAAGACTGGAAACATGAGAAAGATGTGACTAAATCTACCTACAAACACCTCTAAAACCCATTAACACATTATATTTTGTTTGTTTAACAAAAATTATGGTGTAAAAATGACAATGTGCAGTTTTATCGCTCACATTTATGATATGTTGTTGTTGTTGTTTCAAGTATTGCTTTTGCTGTTGTTTTTATTTGTAAGTTCAACCTTTTCGTATGTGTTTTTACTTGACCGTTTCTCAACCTTATGTCAAAGTCCTTTTCTTGAGAATTTTCATCAAAATGACAACACTACTACATTGCACAAGAGAGGAAAGAGACAAATAACAAAAAGAAGAGGATCATGCATTAAACAAAAGAAGAAAAACATAGCACACACTTCTGTTTTTAAGCCCTGACTATTTTTCTCTTTGACTGTTAGGGCCAGAACCATACTCATCCAGGAAGTCAAGACCACCTTTTCAGCCCCACCCCCCACAGAAATGTGGGTTATTTTAAAGACAGTAAACAAGTCACACAGCCGAATGTCACGTGACCAACCAATAATATTTGTTTACTCACCACTATCAGGGTAGATCCGCTGTCCTAAATGTTTGTTATGTTGCACTGTAAAACCATTATAGTGATTCTGTTGTTAAAATAAATCCACTGGTTTCCATCTAAGCTATACAGTCATACCTGCAGTTTAATTTAAATCCCAGCACGAATGATCTAAACTGTAACCCTTATGCATACATTATTGGGGTTCAAGCTTGAGTTCCCTATCAAAAGCAGGTTGAGCTGTACCTTTTTTTTTCAGACACAGCTGACAAAAGTTTGTTTCCCGGGGATTTTTTTGGCTGAAAGTTTACTGACTGTTCAGGGGCGAAGGGTGGGAAGCAAGTTCATACTTACAGTCTGCAACTCTGGCCAAAAGTTTCTCTTCTGCTCAATCACTTCCTGTTTTCACCAGCTGGTCTGAAAAGCACTCACAAACACATGTTGTGTTTTTCAAAATACATGAACTGAGTCTGCCAGATCTTTTGCGCTTATGACATTCGTCTCTAGACTATCATTCAACAGGAAACCATGAGTTTTTAGAGGTTTAGACCACCAAGACTCAGAGTGAGCAGCGTTGACACCTGCAAAACCAAACTGAACTAAAAACAACTGCGAGACAAATATTTAAATATTTAGTATATTTTCATCCAGCTGTTATGTGTCTTATACTCTGGCATAGATATGAAGTCAAGGATCGATGTACTCTGTGCATCAAATGTCTGAGTTAAATAGCTGTAATGTCATGTTGCTCATGTTGGCCCCTTCATTTCCCCTTTTTACGGTAGTACTACTGTGGTTTATGTTGTACTTCCATGGGAGCAGTGTCATTGTTCTCTAACTCCTGCAAAACTAAACTTGTCACTAATCTTGTATGGAATGTTAAAAAGGAGGGTAGGTTTCTCACTGAAGAGTTCCAGTTTGATTACAGACATATACCTCCAGAAAACTCCAAATAAAAAAAGGCTGCATAAAAGATAGATTTTCATTGGCTAATATTTAGGAAACAATTTAAGGTTTCACAAAATAGTGTTTTATTTTTACAATTACATTTTACTTGTATTTATATAAATACATTTAGGAATTTATAAACTAACATAATACATTTTATAATAACTTCTTACTCTTTATGATAGGTTGCATTATTGTAAATGCACATTAATGTTCACATAACCCTGAAGTGGTTATGAAGTTTATTTATGTAAAAACGCAGTCCCAATATAGAGGTCTACACTATAGTACCTGGAAATGTGCTTACCACCCGTCTGATTTACAAGAATTTCTAAAACTAGGAGACACTTCTGGTCTATTTTGGGTCACAGTGCTTAAGACGTGTGAAACTTGCAATGATGGAGATGAGACGAAAAGAGAAAGCACCTGTGTACTTTTATAGTTACATATATTGTGAGTAAATCATTTTTACGATTATCTGACTGTGTCATCGGTAAACTGATGAAGCTTTCTTAATTTTTTCAAATACGTGCAAAGATTATCAACTCATTGCTAGGTTTGCTGAACCTTGTGAGAAACGAGGAATAAATACAAATTGAATTAAAAATATTTGACTTTCTTGCCTTCAAAAAAACTGAAATGACTAAAAAAAACTATCAAAATAGTTACCAATTCTGTCACTTGACTAATCTTCTAATTGACTGTTTCAGCTCGTAGACAAAAACAATACTAACATTCAAGACTGTCAGTATGCAGATAGTGTTTAGGAGCGATGGAGGATGGGAGAGAGAGAGAGAGATACAGAGAGACAGAGGGAGGTAGAAGAAAGGGGGAAGGTGGAATAGGGAACAGGAAGGTGGGAGGAGCATCAGGCAAGAAGGACACATGAGAGAGAGAGTAAAACAAACAACAAAAAACATACAAGGAAGAGAAGGGAAGAAAGAGGAGAGAGATGGGAAAAGAGATGATGATGGCAGAGGAAGGAAGAAGTAAAGGAGCAATGGCAGGAGGAGAAACAGAGAGACTGAGCAGAGTTAATAAGAAAAAGAGAAAAGATATAGATAATGGGGAGAAGAGGAAGGATAAAGACGGAAACTGTGAGGAAAGGTATATAGAGAGAGTATGTGGAGAGAGAGAGAATAACTATTTCATGCCTCTCTGTGAACTTTGCATGAACCGACAGAAATAATGTGATGCCATGACAAGCCTGTCCCTCCTTCCACTAGATTTGCTGCATGCATAGGTGTGTGATATGTGGGTGTGGATGTCTGCGAATCCCTGTATGTGTGTGA